AAGAGGTGAGGTGAGGTTACATAAGGTGAAGTGGTTGGGACGCACCAGATGGTAGCTTATCACATTGGCAGGCGTATCCTGAAGGGGGTGAAAGGGGGAGACTTACCCTAGTTGAGTCATCCTTGGAGACTCATTATGGGAGAGTTACCCTTGGAGATGCGGCTAGGAGACTCACTTTGGGATAGCCTGAGAAGATTGACATCCTCCTACAACCATCCACATCACCACACAACCATCCACACTACCACTACAACCATCCACATCACCACACAACCATCCACAACACCACTACAACCATCCACACCACCACACAACCATCCACAACACCACACAACCATCCACACCACCACACAACCATCCACACCACCAACCACACACCACACAACCACACCACCACACAACACCATCCACACCACCACTACAACCATCCACACTGCCACCACTACAACCATCCACACACACAACCATCCACACCACCACACAACCATCCACAACACACAAGCATCCACACCACCACACACAACCATCCACACCACCACACAACCATCCACACCACCACACAACCATCCACAACACCACACAAGCATCCACAACACACAAACCATCCACAACACCACACAACCATCCACACTACCACTACAACCATCCACACTGCCACACAACCATCCACACCACCACACAACCATCCACACCACCACACAACCATCCACAACACCACACAAGCATCCACACCACCACACAACCATCCACACCACCATACAACCATCCGCACTACCACTACAACCATCCACACACTGCCACACACAACCATCCACACCCACCACACAACCATCCACACCACCACACAACCATCCACACCATATCAAACTCTACATAACTCTCGTCCTTAAATGTTTTCCGCTATTTTTAACACTGCAAACCATTTTATCTTGACCCAGAATAACTTCACTGACCACATGATTTACGGTCACACACACACACACACACACACACACACACACACACACACACACACATACTACCACACACACACACACACACACACACACACACGCACACCACCCACGCACGCCCACGGGATGCTGTACGCGGGTAATACCGCAGTGTCCCGGGCAATCAATAAACTGGCAGACTTGGCGGCGGCGGCGGCGGTGATAGTAGTAGTAGTAGTAGTAGTAGTAGTAGTAGTAGTAGTAGTAGTAGTAGTAGTAGTAGTAGTAGTAGTAGTAGTAGTAGTAGAAGTTGTTGTTGTTGTTGTTGTAGGAGGTATCAGGACGCCGTCAATGCTTAAGAGAAGTACTGACCGGATGCTCAAAGTTCCCGGAGATAAAATTCCTTCCCTCTCCTCCTATTCTTCCTTCTCTCCCCTCTTCTATTCCTCCTCCCCTCCCCACTTCATTCTATTCCCCATCTTCCCCCCTTCTTTTCTACTCACCTTCCATCCCTCTTTATTCCTCCTTCCCTCCCCACCTCCTATTCCTCTTTCTCCCCTCTTCATCTCTTCCTCCTTCCCTCCCCCTCCTTCTATTCCTCAAGTTTAAAGTTCAAGTAACAGGCAACACCAAACTACCCATAAGTTGCATTAATAACTTTTTATCTGATTGAAGTTTAGAATTACTCAAGAAAAACCGAAAATCAATATAATTTATGAAGTAAAATTAATTGCCTATTTCTCTCAGAATTAGTTCCTCGTTCTTATACTAACACCATTATTCTTGCTACTATTTTACTATTATATAATACTATTTTGCTCTTTAGATTTATGGCTTACAATCTCCCCTACTACTTCTACTACTATCACTACTACTACGGCTACTACTATTACTACTACTACTACTACTACTAAAAATAACACTACACACAGACGTACTCAACAAAATTATCAAAGGAGTAACAAACGTTTATCTGGACATTACATAAACAACAATATGAACATGTGTGTGTGTGTGTGTGTGTGTGTGTTTACTTGTGTTACCTTGAACTCTCGACACCCTTGGTCCGTGTGAGTGAATCGAGGGTTCACATTAAACCTTTCCTAAGGACATACTAACCATTAATTCACTCGTACGTGACTACATTTTAAATTTCACTCGTGTCAGTCACTGCATTTTGGCGTTCACTCGTGTTAGTCATTGTATTTTGGCGTTCACTCGTATCAGTCATTGTATTTTGTAAGTCTAATGTATCAGTCACTGTATTTTGATTAGCTCCTTCAGTTACAGGTCAGTGTTACAGGCCAGCTCTAGGTGATGATAAAACAGATCAAGATCAAATTATTAGAAGCGAATGAGTCGATTCATCCTCCTGCTCAGCTGTCCTGTACCATGGAACACTGCCACCTTCATCTCAGTTACTTGCAGGCCAAACAACCACGACGAACACCACCGCCCAATACCTCTCATCTCCTGCTTCTCCAAGATGATGGCTCGCATGTTTCGCCATCACCTCAACTGGAAAATAGACTCCCACCGCCTGTACTCAGACTTAAGTGGCTTTCGTCCTGGGAAGAATATGACACAGTGTATCGTCCACACTGTCTTCCCAGGGTGCTGTTGACGTGACGTGATCCTGGAAGGCCGTACCTAAATGGACATTATGAACTACTACCTATTATCTCTCGTTGTCAGCCTCTTCTTCTAGGATATAATTCGAACTAGGCACATCCCATGGCGGTCTCCTCAACCCTAATTTATTCAATGTCCTCTCGAACTCTGCCTATTGAACTACACTTTCCCTGAACGCCCTTATCAGATATTTACATAATCCCCAAAGCTGAAGGTCCACATACTACAGCCCCACGACATGAACAATCCGTCCTATCCAGCTTAGCTCACACCTGTCAGACTCTTGGCCCCGTCTCGAACAAGTGTACACCTACAGGTACCCCCCCAGCAGTCTACTGTTCTTGGTTCGACCCAACTCCCACCTCCGCTAACGTCGCCCACGTCGTCGTTGTGTGTGTGGGTAATGGACCAAAACGTCTCCAATCATCACCCACGTCCTCTGAGAAGCCTCCGTTAAAGTTCTACGTCTCATATACAGCGAGATAAACCGAGACTGTAGTATAGTGTAGATCCCCGAACAACAACAAACACAAAGACGGATCACTTGTAGGCAGAGGACACCGACCCTCAAAGGCGCTGCTCATGTCCACAAAGAACCATCACCAACGCCTCCTCCCACACCCACTGGTATTATCTGTATCAAGGATCACTGGCATCCCTCCTACATAGGAATCACTACTGATCCCCTCACCAAAGAATCAACCCACGAACAAGGCAAAACACTATACCCTCCAGCGTGTCCATCAATCATGTCAAATTTTCGGATATGCAGCGGGAGATGTATGACTATCCGCTGACGGAACTTAAGGGGACACACACACACACACACACACACACAC